TTGATCTTTCAATATGGATCTTAATTTGTGTGTTCCTCAGTGTGTATCAGTTTTAGAGGAAGGAGTATTAAAGTAATTTATAATTCATCTTAAAATTTAGGGTACACAAGAATCAATTGAGAATTATATAGAAGTACATATTATGAAACCTCTCCCTCCAAAGGTTCTGAGATTAGAATAGCCTAGAAATGGAATCACACTTATGTGGATATTTAACTTTGAAAAACAGTGGCAGAACTGTTTTTGAGGAAAAGAAATCTTTTAAACAGTAGTATTGGATCAACTACATATATAGGTGGGAAAAAGTGAATTTTTTCTGATATTTTGAGACAGAGTCTGGCTGTACAGTTTAGGCTGGCCTTGAACTCACTGTGTAGCCCAGGCTGGCCTTCAATTCAGCGTGATCCTTGTGCTGTCTAAGTTCTGATATGGTATGTGCCATCAATCCTGGGAAAAAAGTGAATTTTGACCTCCCTCTCATGTCATGCATAATATGGATCACTGACCTAAATGTAACAATTAAAACCATGAGCTTTCTAGAGGCAATCTTAGAATAATATCTTGGGGTTGGGTAGAATTCTTTTGGACAAGATATAAAAAGTAGTTATAGAGGAAAATATTGGTATTCTATTTCAGTGAGAACTTTTGTTCACAAAAGACACTATAAGCAAATGAACAGGCAGACCACGTCGTGGGAAATAATGTTGTAAACTATATTTCAAAGGACAAGAATCTACAATGTACTGTATGAACAGCTTTATATAAATCAGTGTGTGTTTGTTCATCTTGATTGTCAACTTGATTAGATTGAGGTATGCCTGGGAAATTAATAAAGCACACTTGCAGATGTCTGTGAGGGTGTTTCCAGAAACAGTTGGCAGATGGGACAGCAAACCAGTAGGAAAGACCTGCCCTGAATATAGGTGGCACCTGCCACTAGGCTGGGGGCCTGGTTGGAACAAAAGCAGAAGGAGGAAACCTCAAGCATAGGCTCTCTTTCCCCTTTGCTTTCTGGCTGCCATCTGGCCTGCCGCTTCCCTTTGCTGTGCTCTTTTGCTGTGATTTTTCTGCCTAGCTACACACCCAAAAGTAATGCAGCTAGCCAACTATGTGCTGAACTGTGAGCCAAAACCTTTTCTTCCTTAAGTTGATTTTTCTCAGGTATTTTATAACAGTGGTAGAAAGCTAACAAGATGATAAAAAGATAACCCAATCTAAAATTCCACAAAAGATGCTGGTCATGGAGGCACTGACCTGTAATCTTAGTACTCTAGAGTCTAAGGCAGGATTGCAAATTTGAGCCTACCCAGAGCAATTTAGCAACTTAGCAAGACTTTATGTCAAAATCTTAAAAAGGGAAAGGGAAGCTTAGTGCAAAGGCTGTGTTTAATTCCTAGTAGTATAGTGGAAAAGTAGGCAAAAGATAGGAACAGACCAAAAAATACCTATAGATGACCAGTACATATATGATAATGTTCAACATCTTTAGGCATTAGGAAAATGCAAATAAAAACTACTTTGAGATTTTATCTTATCCCAGCCAAAATGTTTGTTGTCATGAGTACAAAAAACAAAGAATATTAACATGTGTGGGGAATAAGAGACTTTCCTACATTGTTGATGGGAATGTAAATTGTAGTACAACCATTATGGAAATCAATATGGAGATTCATCAAAAAACTAAAAATAGGAATACCATTTGAAATTGGGCATGGTGGTGCGTGCCTGTAATCCCAGCATTCAGGAGGCTGAGGTAGGAGTATCACTTAGAGTTCAAGGCCAGCCTAGGCCACATCTCTGGCCAGCCTGAACTACTTAGCAACACCCTGTCTCAGAAAGAAGGGAGAAAGGAATGAAGGAAGGACTGACAAACAGACACAGACAGTTTGACCTAGCAACACTTCTGGGTATGTTTCTAATAGAATTAAAGAGAATATACTATAGTGATACATGCATACCTATGTTTATAGCCATATAACTTATAGTAGTTAAGCTCTAAGAGCCTTCCTAGATTCCCATCAACAGATGAATGGACAACAAAAATGTGGTGTATATACACTACGAAAAACTACTCAGCCATAAAGAATAAAATCATGTCATTTGTAGAAAAATGGATAGAACTCAGGACCATCGTGCTAAGCAAAATAAGCCAGACTCAAGAGGTCAAATATTACATGTTGTCTCTTATATGAGAAACTTTACATGATAAACAAATATAGAGAGATAACAGGAAGCTAGAAGGTTGACTTGGGAGATTGGGAAGGCCACTGGGGAAGGAGGACAGAGAGGTAGGTAATGGGGTTGAAAATAATCAAGATATGGTAAATGCCTGTACCAAATTCCAAAGCAGACCTCACTGTTCTGTATATGGACTAATAAGAAAAAAATGTGATTTTGTGCCTATGAGAACTACAATCTGAGAATCATTAGATTTGATTAATCGCCAAATTACTTATCATAAAATGATAATTTATTGATTAATCAGGTCATATTTTAGCATTTTCATTAAAATTTATGCTCCCTTAAATATTTTAAGAGTTATTTGTGTTTAGATTAGATTGTAGCTTAGTAGTGGAGCGCATGCTTAGAGCATGCTTAACATAAGGCCCTGGATTCAATCCCCAGAATCAAAAGCAAAAACAAAAACCATTTGTTTATTAGTAGGTTAATTAGTAAGTAAACAGATTTATAACAATATAATTTTTCTAATATATATTCTTTTTTAACATGTGGGATGTAATTTAATATTGAAATAATTGAACATGAAAAAAATATTTTGAGATGAGGTCTTTCTGTGTAGCCCAGTCTGGCCTTGAATTCATGGGAGTCCTACAGTGTCAGCCTTTCAAGTGCTGGGGTTATAGACAGGTACCTTCATGCTCAGTGTGACATGATAATATTTTGCGTGGAATTGGATGTAATTAAATTAATTAAAATTTTGTCAGAGATGGATACTCATAATGGTTTTTGGTAAACTGGATGATTTCAGTTTGCACTTGTATTCCTTTTTCAATTAAAATTTTGGTACAATGAATGTTTTACTTGTGTAATAGGCCCCTAATTCATTCACGTTAAAATTCTACATATTTAGTGACTTAGAACTTTTACCTTTGACATAAAGTCATCATAAGTAATTTATTCATAACATGAAGTTATCCGTGAACTTTCAGAAGTGCTGCAGGGGAAAGAGTGGCACTAAGGTATTGGTTACATGCTTGAAATACCTGCTTGGAGGATGTAGAGGAAAAGGAACCCTTGTACAGTGTTGATGGAAATGTAAAGATTGTGGCAAACAGTGTGGAGGTTCCTCAAAAGATTAAAAATAGGACTGTGATATGATACACAATACTACTACTGGGTATATGTCCAAAAGACATGAAATCAGTCAGCCAGGAGACATCTGTACACACGTGTTCACAGCAGCACCATTTGTAGTAACCAAGAAATGGAAATAGGGGCTGGGGATTTAGCTCAGCAGCATAAGCACCTGCCTTGCAAGCAGGCGGTCGTGAGTTCGATCCCCGATAGCGATAAAAATGAAAAAGACAAAAAAAAAAAAAAAAAAAAAAAAAAAAAATGGAAATAACTTAAACGCTTATCAGCTGGTGAATGGGTTAAGGAAATGTGGTATACAATACTATTCCAGGATTAAAAGAAATGGAATACAGTCATTTACAACAACATGGATACAAACGGAAGGTATTATGGCGAGTGAAATAAGCCAGGCACAGAAAGACAGGTATCACATGATGTCGCTCATCTTGGAATCTAAAAATGTGGGTCTCGCAGAAGTTGAGAGTAAAATGGTGGTTCCCAGAGGCTGAGGAAAGTGACTAGTGGGGAGGCGGAATGGGGGGAAGATTGATTAGTGGGTACTAAAATATAATTCGGAGGACAAAGTTCTGGTAATATAAAAAAGCTGCAGAAAGATTCCCAGTGTTCTTAGAAAGAAATAATAGCCAAGCACAGTGTTTCATGACTGTAATCCCAAAGGTGGGAGGCTGAGACAGGACTGCAAGGTCAAGACCAGCCCAGCAATTTACAGGACCCTGTCCAAAAAAAAAGTAAAGCTCTGAAGCGGAGCCTCAGTGGTAGGGTGTTTGCCTAGCATGTGTGTGTCCATAGGTTCAATCTGTAGTTTAAGAAAAAAGTTAAAGCTTTGGGGATAGATTTACCCAATTAGAACATTACACTGTGTGTACATGTATCAAACATAGCTATAAATAGCCGTATATGTCTAATTTTTGTCAGTGAATAAAATTAAAATTTCTAGAAACTATAAAATTAATCTATATCGATTAAAAACAGTAGAGGAAGGGCTAGAGAGAAGGGGTTTCCTGCGAATAGAAGAGGTAGAAAGAATAGACATGAAATAAATATGAAGAAACTTTTGTTTGGGAAACATTGCCCTAAAATACGACTAAGCTTCTCAAACTTTCTGTGCCAAAAGAGGGAAAGAGGAAGAAGAGATGGATGAAAAAAAAAAAGCACATAAGGAACTTGTTGAAAACACAAATTCCTGGTCCCTCCTGGGGCTTCTCATTTACCAAGTCTTGGATGATGATCTGAAATCTGTTTTTCATTTATTTTTTTGAGAACGTGTCACACACAGGTCTGAGTGCTATCTAAAGTTTGTAGTCACTCTTCTGAGAGAAAAGAGGGAAGTAGGAACTTAAAGGGAAGGTCATCTTAGATTTGAGGGTAGATCTATGTGAGGGACTTGAGGTGACCACGGCAGCGAGGACCGAGGGACTGAGCTTGCGCAGCCTTCCAAGGGCTGTCGTGCCTTGGAGGCCACCACCTTTGTGAGGCAGAGTGTGGGTAAGCGCCTTGGAAAGTGACTTGGGAGCAACTGCGTTCATTCACTTTCAAGTTGTGGACAGAATTCAGGGTCCTTGTGCACGCCACTGAAAATCTGCCCGCATGCCAGCAGGTGCAGCCTGTAGCCCACTTGCTGATCATGGACTCACAGCAACTATAAACATTTTTCTCTTTTGTAGTTAGAAGAAAACATAACCTATAGACCATCCTCTGGCTGAAGATGATAGATTTGGATCAGAAACGGGAGGTGTTGGAAGCCAGGAATCAAAAGTGAAGAAACTCTGCAAACTCTTGGGTGAGAAAGGTGACAGAAATGATTTCTTTACTTGTCCCATATTGTCATCCCGTGGTATCTGAAGTGAGCGCGTGGCCTTCGGGCCCGTGTACCTTCACACGTTGTAGAGAGAAGGTGGAATAGGAGTAAGCTGGGAATGAATCTTGAGTATACATTTCTGTGTCTGTTGCTGTAGTTCGTACTTAACTGTCCTCTCCTTGCCTGTCTGAATTTCTTCTTTTTGTGTATCTGGGTGGTTTTTTTCTTTGTGTTTTGAGACAGGGTCTCTCTGTGTAGTTCAGGCTGGCCTTGAACATTTGATAACTCTCTTTCTGGCCTCAGCTTTCTGAGTACTTGAATTACAGGATGTGCCACCACGCTTGGCTATATTCCCTTTCACAAAGTAAAGTCCCCTCCTTTCTAGGGGTAGAGTTTACCCTAAAATACCTGGTTAATGCTTACAGCTAATGTTTCTTCAGTTCTTAGGACTGCAGGCCCCATGGTGTTGTGCTGTCCTTGCCCTCGCTCTTGGGCTCACTGGCCCTCTCCCTTCTCTTCCCTCTCTTCTCCCCTCCCCTCCCCTGCCCTCCTCTCCTCTCCTCTCCTCCCCCTCTCTCCTCTCTCTGCTCTCCTCCGCTTCTCTTCTCCTCCTCCCCCCTTACCTCCTTCTCTCCCTTCTTCTCTTCTCCTCCTCCCCCCTTACCTCCTTCTCTCCCTTCTTCTCTTCTCCTCCTCCTCCCCTCCCCTGCCTCTCTCTTCCTCTCTTCTCACTTGCCCTCCCCTCTCTCCTCTTTGATAGGTTGTTACTAGGTAATTAAATCCGATCTCAAACTAGCAGCTCTCTTTCTGCCTGAAGCCTCGTGAGTGCTGGCAGGAAGCCATCCCAACTTCCTGCATAATTTCATTCCCTTCTCAAAATGACCCAGCGACGCAGGTGACACGACTGAGGTTCCAACAGGTTAGATAGCTTGCCCAAGACCTGACAGCTGGGAAATGGTAGAAGTTCTGTTTTCTGACTTTGGACTTCATCCTTGCAACTTTCTTTCCTCTTTCAGAGGAACAAGGAACAGCTATGCTTGCACCTCCTCCAGTTACCAGAACAGCTCACCAGCTTGGCAGACCTCCTTTGGAAGGTTGTTAGTTCCCAGGATTTAAAAGCATCAAAGTTTTCTTTATGAAATTATTGAAAATAACAGAAGAGAAAGAAGACCCTATTATATTGATGATTTACATAACTATATATTAATGTTTTGGTCACCAGGCTTTTCCCATATATGTGTATGTTTCCCTATAGTCTGTATGTTCTTTAGTATCCTTATATTTTATGTAAGTATATGAATATAATTCTCATGTCCAGATATTAATGACTTTCATATGATAACCTGAGATTTCTAGGAGTTTAAAGAAAATTTAGTAAATGAGTGAACAAATGAATATTTGCTTACACAGATAGAATATTACATCTATACATTTGAAATTTTGAATTTTTCTGTGTTCAGAGAGAATCATTCTAGTTTAAACTTTGGATGACTGACTCCTCAGTGTCATGAACAAAGAATACACTCAGAAGTCTGTGCTATCTGTCTTTCTAAGTCTTGGTCAGATTTACATCCCATTTAATCTTTTCTTGATTTCCAAAGCAATGACCTTTTCTGTTCGTCTTCTCCCGTGTTTTTTTTGGCAGTTTCTCACATTTGACATTCACATACTTTTTTGCCCTGTTTTTCTGCACTTCTTTCCATACACAGCATCTAACCCAGTGCTTTTTCAAGATCATTTTATTTCTTAGCATTTTCTTATTCAAATCAAGTTATTATTGGTCATTTTCCCAAGATTCTAGAGTGACTAATCTTTCTGTCTTCTTTTGTTTCTTTGTAGGTTCCTACCACTGTCACCATGCCAGAAATGACAGAGCATGAGACTCCTACAAAAAAGCAGCACAGGTATGTATCCACAGTCCAGAAATTATATATATACAGTTTGGGCTGGTAAGAAGCAGAAGTAGTTCCCATTTCACTTAGGGCACTTTCATGTGGTGACTAGAAAATGATTAATCTCCAAAAATATGTATGGATAAATGTAAATAGATTTACTGAGGGTCATATAGTTAAACTTTGCCTCTCTTTCTTATTCTGCTAGCAATCCAAGAAGTAAGACTATCAGGAATTAAAATAGTGGATCATGATAATCTGTGCTCAGTGTTTAGGTTTTTTACTAGCATATAATATTTTGTAAATCCTGAAGTCTATAGTCAGTTCAAATAGACATAGACATTTTGCAGCATTATAATCCTTTAATGGCAATATGCTTATCTATAAAATACTACTTTTTTAAAAAAGAAATCATCTTTTAAACGTCTGATATTTGGTCAGGATCTCTGCTTAGAATTGCATGGCTAGTGCCTTTGTTAATATTAAAATTACTATTCTCCTTCCTTGCCAAAGAGCTACTGTGTGTCTTTGTTTCTGTCTCTGTCTCCTCTCTTCTCTCTTTCTGTGTGTGTGTGTGTGCATGTACGTGTGTGTGTACGTGTGTGTGTGTGTGTGTGTGTGTGTGTGTGTGTGTGTGTGAGACTGGGGATTGAATCCAAGCCCTTTCACTTTGCATTGCATCTGCAGTGCTCATTTTTTTTTTCTTTTTTTATTTTTATCGGTACCAGGGATTGAACTCATGACCGCCTGCTTGCAAGGCAGGTGCTTATGCCGCTGAGCTGAATTCCCAGCCCCTGCAGTGCTCATTTTATTTTTTATTTTGAGAGATGGTCTCACAAAGTTACTAAATTACCCAGCATGGACTCAAACTTGTAATCCTTCTGTCTCAACCTTCCAGAAGAATTTAGAAGTTTGGACAATCTAAGGGTACAGATACAAAAGATGATTCAAGTGCCAGTTGTCAGTGCTTAAAAGCGTGTTGTTGGCCAACACATTTCCCTTCCTGGGGATTACAGAGTTACTTGCACTCCTGCCTGGGTACCAGGGCAAACATCAGAAGCCATGTATGTGGCACATACTTTGAGAATTTGCTAGCACCTAAATTACGTTTTTCAAAATTGCAAAGGTTTCAGTGATTGATTCTTATTTTCAACCCATGACTTTTGGGTACTAAAGAATCTAGAATTTTGGTTACTTCTAGAGATGGTGTCTTTAAATTTATATGGAATCATTAAGTTTTCATGCCATAGTAGGCCCTAAGAATTTTTTCTTCATGTGACTTCTTGTTGATACAACAAATACAAATTCATGAAACTTAATTTTTATGGTTCTCAAAATATAAAGTATGTAGTAAAATGTTTTCTCATTATCTTTATGTTACCTTTTATCTGTATACTTCTTTTTTTTTTTTTTTTTCAGAAAGAAAAACCGGGAGACACACAATGCAGGTAAATACAATAATTTAAATTTTACTTGTTAACATCTTTTTGCTTTCAAAATAAAATTGTATCACAGTTGATCATAAGTTTTTATGAGCATCTAATTATTAACTGTTGCATTTTGTTTTTTAAATGTATTATTATTAGTACATATTTGCTATGTATGATACCATTCATCATAGGGAATTTGTACCTGTACATAATATGTCTTAATTCTTCTTTTTTTCCCACCCACCTCCCCTCTTCAACCATTTTGCCCTCTCCATTTACAAAAGCTTTGTTTCCATTTTTCCTCTACCAATCTTTTTTTTTTAAATCCTTTTCTCTTCCTTTCTTTTCATTTGCTCCCTTCCTTGTTCCTGTTCCCTCTGAATATATTCTTCTTACTTCCCAATATTTTGTTTTGATCATTATTTACCCTTTTGGTTTCTCATACAAGAGAAACAATGTGATATTTAAACTTGTGTCTTAATTTATTTCAGTTAAAACTATGGTCTTAAGGTGTATCAGTTATCTAAAAATGACTTAAATTTATCTGTCTTTTTGGCTTAATAGTACTCCTTATATATAAATACCACATTTTTTTTCCTATTCATCCATTGATGGGCATATGTACTGTTTTTCAGATTTAGCTATTACAAATTGTGCTGCTATAAATATAGGTATGCATTTATCACTGCCATACGATGCTTTTAATTCTTCAGGGAAGCTACCTAGAAGGGACACAGCTGGACCAAATGGAACCTCTAGTTTTAGTTTTTTGAGGAATTTCCATACTAATTTCCATAATGGCTATACTAATTTACACTCCCACCAACAGTGGAGCAGGATTCCTTTTTCTCCACACTCTTGCTAGCATTTGTTACTTACTGATTTCTTGATGATAGCCATTCTTTCTGGAGTGATGTGGAATCTCAGTATTGTTTTAATTTGCATTTCTTTTTTAATTTTTAAATTTTTAATTTTTGTATTTTAAAGGGAATAAAACAAAACAGTAAAATAAAAGAAAACAGTGAAAACAGTATTGGATTTCAAACACAAGACAAGGAAATATCCCATAGTTGTTATATTCCATATTGTTATGCTCTAAATAGATGCTCAGACTACTAGCTTTAGGTCTGCAAAATCAGTCAAACAATACAAACATTAAGTTGTTTTTTTACTTCAGTTGCTGTCATCTCAGGCTGTGTTCCTTGGAATTAGCCAGTTGCTTACTAATTTGCATTTCTTGAATGACGGCTGATGCTGAGCATGTTTTGTATATTTGCCATTTGTACTTTTTCATCTGTTCATTTCAGATGCCCATTTAAAAATGTATTAGTATATGACTGCAATTCATACAGTTTACAACTATGTTGAGGAATGGTTACATATATATACCACAGCTTGTTTCTTGTTTTTAAAATCTCCTTCCTTTCCCTCTCCCTTTTTCCCTCTTTTTCCAGTTCCCTATCTCATTTTCCATTCTTGTTGACATTATTACTCTTAGCTCATGTTATGGCATTTACTGTTTACAGTGCCTGAGGTTATTTGGGTCCTACACAGGGCACATTTTTGTTCTACTTAGTCTTCCTTTTGCCCTCTACCTCACTCTTCACACTTTGTCCCTTGGACCACTTCCCTATTGCAAGAAATACAAGTCCCGGTCCCCTCTGTTCATCCTTTTTTATTCTTTTTGTTTATACTTTACCTCACTAAAAAGAGAGGTAGCATATTGTATTTAAGCTTGTGTATCTGGTTTATTTCATTAAACACTGTATTTTCTGGGTGCATCCATTTTCCTACAAATGCCTTAAATCATTCTTTATGTCAGGATAGTATTCCATATATACCACATTTTCTGTATCTCTCATCTCTAATGAATATATAGGCTGTTTCTAGGATTTAGCTGTTACAAGTTGTATTGCTATAAACACTGGTATGCATGTATTGCTATAGAATAAGCAATACATGAATATCTTCTTTGGGGAAGATACCTAGCAGGGCGATTTCTGGATGATATGGAATTTCTAATTCAGTGTTTTTTGGAAATCCCCATACCGATTTCCATAATGTTTGTACCTGTTTCCATTCCTACCAACAATGAAAGAGGAGGGTTCCCTTTTCACCACAACCATACCAGCAATTGTTATTGATCAATTTCTTTTTTTTTTCTTTAATTGATTGATTTCTAAATGATTGCCATCTTTTTGGAATAAGATGGAATCTTAGCCTTTTTTACGTTTGTATTTATCTAATGGCCAGAGATGGTGAACATTTTTTGTATATTTGTTGGCTATTTGTATTTCTTCCTCTATGAGTGTTTATTTATTTCTCTTCCCCATTTTTTTGACTGGATCTTTAATTTTAGGTGGATTAATTTTTTTTGAGTTTTTGTATATTTTAGATATTAATCCTCTGTCTGAGAAGTACCTGGCAAAACATTTTCCCATTCTGTAGATTCTTCACTGTACTAATTCTTTTGCTGTACAGAAGATTTTATTCTGATGTAATCCCACTTGTTAATTCTTTCTGTTGTTTCTTATGCAATTAAGGTTCTGTTTGGCAAAGCCTTTTTTCCTACACGTCTTCAAGTATTTTGCTGTTTTACCTTCCAGTAGGTTTAATGTTGCTGTTTAATGTTTGGATTTTGTTCCATTTTGATTTTAGTTTAGTATGTGGTGAAAGATAATAGGTCCAGGTTTTCTCCCTTTAGCATGATGATTGGTTATTGATTTCTCATATAGCTTTTATCATGTGCAAGTATGGTCCTTCTATACCTGTTTTCTTCAAGTTTTTTTTCATCATGAAAGGATGTTGGATTTTATCAAAAGGCTTTTCGGCATCTATTGACATGATCATATGGTTTTTGACTTTGGTTATGTTTATGTGATGTATTTATTGTGTATTGTTTATACGTTGAATCATTCTTACATCTCTGGCATGAAACCTGTTTGATTATAATGTATGATCTTTTTGATAAGGTGCTGCTGAATTCCGTTTGCTAACATCTTCTTGAAGATTTTTTACATGAAACAGATTGGCCTATAGTTTTCTTTTTTAGTTGGGTCTTTATCTGGTTTAGAGATCAGGGTAATACTGGTTTCCATCAATGAGTTTGGGAGTACTGCATCTGTTTTATTTTGTTTGAAGAACTTGAGGAGTGTTGATGATATAACATCCTTAAAGGTTTTGTAGAATTTAACAGTGAATCCGTCAGGTAGTAAGGTTTTTTAGTTGGTGGATTCTTTATTACTGTGTCAGTTTCATTATTTGTTATTGGGTAGGTAAGCATATTTATGTCTTCTGGGGTTAGTTTTGGTAGCTTTTATATATTTAGAAATCTGTCCATTTCTTCAAAATTTGCTAACTTGTTGGAATATAATTTTTCAAAGTAGTTACCGTCTTCCGGGTTTCCACAGAGTCTGTGATTTCATCTTTTTCATTTGTAATTCTATTAGTGTTTGTCTTTTCTCATTTTCTTTTCATGTCTGAAATTTGTTGATTTTTTTTTATTTTACTTTTTAAAAATTTCTCAATTTCATCTCTTATCTTTGTAGTTAATCTCCTTAATTTTGGTATGAGGCTAGTGTATTGTTTCTCAAGTACTTTAATCACCGGGTATGGTAGTGCACACCTGTAATCACCTAGGAGGTTGAGGCAGGATTATATTGAGTTTGAGACCAACCTGTACCATGTAGCTCAAAAAAATAAAAAGCCTCAAAACAAATCAAGTATTTTAAGATTTTTTTTTGGTTTTTGGTATTTTTAAATAGATTTTCTTTTTTTTTTTTGTTTTCATCTTTTTGAGACAGGGTTTCATAATGCAATTTAGGCTGGCCTTGAACTCACTTTGTACCCCAGCCTGGCCTCAAATTCACAGCAATCCTTCTGCTTCAATCTCCTGAGTGTTGGGATTATAGATGTGTGCTACCATGCCTAGCAAGATTTCTCATAATGTTGTCTCTTTGAGTGTGATCTGTTTTCTTAATTTGAACATTGATTGCAATGAATTTTCCTATTATAACTGCTTTCATAATGTTCCGAGGTTTTAACAAGTCATACTGTTGTTAGAGTATTTCAGTACAACAAAGGAGTAGAATATAAAAGTAAAAGTGGCCTTTCTTCTAAGGATGTGGAGAGGAGCCTGTAAGGGGAGCGGTGTGGGTTTTTTCTCTGTCCTCGGTACAGGGTATGGAGGTATATGTAACCTTTGGCTGGGGTGCTTAGGGCGGGTATTGATGACATGAGAGGAGCGATGGGAATTTTCTTTACTCACACTGGAAAAGGAAAAAGGAAGTTGCAATAGGGAAGGAGGAAGTGACCTCAGGGTAAACATCCCCAATTTGGCCTTCTACCACCATAATGTCCTGTAATTTATTCTAGGGCAAAACTCTTTAAACCGTCATTATTGTTAATTTCTGGAAATTCTTAAATTTCTTCTTTGATTTTTTTTTTCCTAATGACCCATCGGTTGTTTAGGAGTATATTGTTAAGTTTTCAGGAGCTTTGGCTTTCCCTAGATTTCTTCTGTTGTTGATTTCTATTTTCATTGCACAGTGGTCTGGTGGTATGCATGGGATCCTTTCATCTGCCTTGGGAGAACTGAGCTCAGAGATCTTCTATTTCCTTGCTTTGCTTTCCCATTCTTCTATCTGTATCTGTGTTTATTTGTTTGTATACATGTATATCTCTGAGTGTGTATATATATGTTTTTTAAAATTATGCATGGCCCCCTCTTTTTTTGGGAGTAGTGCATGATGGCAACTGAGGAGAGTTTATGGTTTGTATGGGGATTTTTAGTTGGATGTTACTTCCTTATGAGTAGTTTTCAGCTTTGCATGTCCAGTGATAGTATTTACTCCATTATTTACTTCAGGTGATTTTGATTCTGTCCCTGTTTTGCTGAATTACTTAAGTTTATAGCAGCATTAGTAGATTCAGTCTTACAACACTTCTTTAGGATAGTTCTTGCAATTACTCTTCTATTCTTTGTCTATTCTCTATGCACAAAGACAGTTTATTATCTG